CCGCCGCTCCGCCAGCCGCGTGAGCGCCTGTGAAGGGGGCACGCGGTCGCGCCGTGCCAGGGGGCAGAGGGGTCATCCAGGTGCGGGGCCGCACGCGGACAGCTGGCGGCGCCCACGCCGCGCGGCCGGGGCCGCCCTCCGCGCGCCGAGGCGCATTCCAGCGCCAGGGCGCGCGTAGGCCCTCGCGTCATGAGCTTCTGTCCCGCCCCGTCTGGACCGGCGCAGTTGGCGCGCCAGCTCGGCACCCAACACTCCCCCTTCCGCCGCTCGCACCTCGCCGCCAACCCCAAACTCCAGGAAGCTCCCCCCCAGCCCGGGCGCCGCCGACCGCAGTCCCATCCATCTGTCCCCCCCCCTCCCGCGCCCCGCCGCCCGACCCCTCACCATCTTGTCCGGCGCGGTCCCCCAGATGGGCAGCGGGTGCGCCTCCGTGTTGAGCACCCACTCGTCAAAGGACAGGACCGAGGGGTCGTCCTCAAACAGCAGGAAGAGGTACTTGAGGGTCTCGGCCAGCCAGAAGGACTCCATCTTGCTGTCCAGCTGGGGAGGGATCTGGGGCGCGCGCGCGCGTGTGTGTGTGTGTGTGTGTGTTTGTGAGTGTGCATGTGTGTGTAGGTGTGTGCGTGTAGATGTTTGTGGTGTGAGTGCGAGAGTGTGGGTGTGAATGTGTGTTTGTGTGTACATGTGCACGCGCGTGCCAGTTGAGGTGCGATGTGTGTGGGTCGGCCGTGGGCGCGTGGGCGCCGCACGGCCGCAATCGGCCACCTGCTTGCCCACAGGCGGCCGGTGCGAAGCAATTGGGTGGCCCAGGCGCTGCTTTCAGAGGACCCGATTGTGAGGGGACCAACAGGAACCAGGCACGTCACCCCCACACACATCGCTGAAGGGGCAACAACTTGTCCCTCCTCCTCTTTTTTCTGGAAGGCTGAAAACTCCCTCCGATCCCCCCCCAATGCGCCACGCACCCCCCATGCACATGGTCCAGCGCGCCTCTGCCGGCATTTTTTCCACCCACCACAACCCTCCTCGCTTGAACCTCCCGCAGCTCCCACGCTCCGCTCTCCCCACAGCAGCCCGGGGGCAAAGGGCGAACAGCAACGCCGCCCGCCCACCCACCGGGTACACGTCTCGAACCGTGGCATACCCGCCCGTCGGGCACTTGCACCACCGCTCCCACGCGCGGAACATGTTCCAGCCCCACTCCCGGTAAATCTCGTCCCCGGTGGCGCGCCACAGATAGAACAGCGTTTCCGCGGCTTCCGGCCGCAGGAAGTCCTGGCGCGACAGTGGCGTGAACGTCGCCCGCTGATGCGGCGGCGGCGGCGGCGGGGGCGGCTGCGGGGGGAGCGGTCGAGTGAGAAGTCGCGTTGCGATTGTACGTGAGGAGGGGGGCCGGTGGCGGACAGGTTCGGGTGCTGCTGCTGTGGCAGTCGAACAACAGCTGAGGACGGCAGAGAAAATGGCGCAAGCGGGGCTCACGCTTGGTGGCGGCGGCGGCGGCGGCGATTGGGACGGCTCGACGTGCGCGGCGGTGTCGTGGGGCTGCGCGGCCGCCGGCTGCACCACCACTGGCGGCTGCGCAGCGGCTGCCTGCAGCAGAGCCCTGCGCTCCACCCTGTGTTGGAAGGGCTGCTGCGCCAGCTGCTGCAGCTGCCGCAGCGGCTGCTGCTGCTGCGCTTGCTGTAGCTGCTGCTGCACTTGCTGTAGCTGCTGCTGAACTTGCTGCAGCTGTTGCTGCTGCAGCGGCTGCTGCCGCTGCAGCAGGAGCAGCTGCTGCTGCAACAGCTGCTGCTGCTGCTGAAGCGGCTGCAACTGCGTTTTACCCTTGCTCGGGAGCGGCTGCGTCACCACCTGGGGCGCGTACGCCTCCAACGACTTGACCTGCGGCATGGCCTGCGCGATGTGTGCGGCGGCCGCGGGCTGCACAACCGGCGCTACCACCGCCTGAGCGGCCACCCCCGCAGGCGCCGCATGCGGCGGCGGTGGAGGCGGCGAATGCGCCGGC